GTACATCTACGGCCGTTACCATGATTGGGTAGGAGAGGGGTTTCCATGTGTTTCTGCAGGCACCGATTCGCAAGTCTCGCGCTTGTTAGAGGACTGGCGCTTGAGATCTCGTCTCTACAGCCCTTGAGTCTCCTTTTTTTCATGTTTGCATTGACTGCACAAGGCATAGTTGATACCATACTCTTCCATCCAAGGTGATTGAGGTGATGATGCCCCCTACAGAACAACGTCTACATCTTTAGAAGCACAAAGACTTCTTCATTGATACTCGGCTGTCCCCGGATGTCGACAAATCAGTCCTCGAGCCCCTACGTTCTATTTTGTTCTTGGCAATAATCTGGGCATAAGCCGGGTAAGAGAAATCCATAAAGGTAAAAGATCCATACGTTCCGAGGTTACATTATCACCGTCAACAAAAATTACAAGATGGAAGAAGAGAAGCCAACATTGTGGCAGGGCACAGGTTGTGAATAGTAGCGGATTACCTTACACGAGATCGGGCCTACATCCTTTCCGATTACAGCTCCATGCCAGTGAGGCGACTTGGACGTGGTGTGTCTAGAGCTATTCTGCCGATGCACAGGGATCCCCGGTGCGGATATACCCGATGGTCAATCATCCAAACTCAACAAGGGATAGTACTTGCTATGATAGGACTCACTAAAACGTCTTTATTTAGAATTAACCTCATCTTCTTACGGACAAAGGAAGAGAAAAAGTGGTTGAGCCAATATTTACTTCCCTACCCTGGCGAACTTCATTTACCTAGCAATCTCGGATGCGACGAGTGGTTTCTGTGCCTTGACCATCTGTATGGTTGTTGGCATGACCAGTGTCATGTGCATGATCAGTGTTATCAGCATGACCAGAGCCTTTTCTTCCACTTGTGAATGTCACAGCGTTTGATTGAGCCGATTCCGGTGAATACCGCCATGACCGCCTCGAACCGTACCTCTCCCAACGCGAGCCTAGTTTCTGCGTTCCTCCCCTTCGTCAATTAGACGAGGGATGGCCTTGGAGAAACACCTGATTGTACAGTAACTCATCTTCCCGACCCTAGTGTTGTGCGGTGTACGTGGTTCGTAGAGACCTGTGAGCATGGACATATATGCGATGCGACTAGTTGTCAACGGATCATCGCATCACTCCCCTTGGGCTCACTTGCCACCAAAGAACGCGGTAATCTTGCGTGTCCCATCGGTCTTGGATGTCTTTGCTGCACTGCCGTTGCTCGTGGCGCTCCTGGTACCCTGCTTCTTTGCAGGTGTTGAAGTCTTCTTTGCAAGACTCTTGGTAGGCGACGCAGTCGCAATACGTTTACATCGCGGCTCGCCTTCCGCGCTACTAGCGACCATATCCTCGTCTTCGTGCTCTCGCTTGATGCCTTTTGACTCACAAGTCTCAGGTACAGGCAACGGCGCATTATCTTCCGTAGTCTCGACACAGTCAGTCGTAGCACGCGTCTCATTGTCGTCGTGCTCGACTTTCACCATGTTCTTTCCATGAGCCGCCTTGGATTCGGCGGCTTTCTGTTGATTGCCAAAGAAGTTGGCAATGTTGTTCTTGTTCGCCGCGCTGTTTATCGGCACGAGGAAAGAGGGCGAGTTGTTGCCAACCTTGCCAACGTCTTTGCTGACCGGGTAGCATTCCAGCTCACCCTCATACGGTTTCAACAGCTCCTGCAACTCCTTACTCCATTCCGTCCTATTTGGGTCGAGCCAGGTTCGTACTGCATCAGATCCATTGTCCAATATGACAGGCATGCGATCGTGCAGGAAACTGAGCTGCTTGTTCGAATCGGTGGTGATGATGCTGTAGGTAAAGAGCTTCTCGCTAGAGTCTTCAAACTGCACACTGTCCCACAAACCAGCGAAGCACATGAGCTGACCGTCCTTGCGCTTAGTAAAGTGTGGTATCTTGTCCTTGCCCCCGTTCTTCTTCAGCCATTCGTAGAAGCCCTGTGCGACGACGATGCAGCGCTTCTTCTTCTTCATGGTTGTCCACATGCCACGATCTTCAATGAGGGAATCGTCGCGGCAGTTGATTGTCTTCATCTTGGAGCCATAGTCTGGGTTGCGCTTTGTCCAAAAGGGCACGAGTCCCCACTGCATAGACTGCAGCTTGTACTTTGTGTCTTCGGTCGCACCTTCCTGCTGGTCACCTGTTTCGGGACCATCTGCTCGGTATACGAGACCGTGGTAACCGGGGGCGAAGTTGTAGCTTTGGCGCACGTTACTATCGTCGTCGGGTGCCTCTTCTACAGGCATCTGCGACTGCTCGAGCTGCTGGCGGACCTCAGAAGGCCGCTGGGAAGCTTGTCAGATGGCGCATGGGAACTCGTGTCAAGGCGCATACTCACCAAGGCCAGCACGTAGCGACCACACATGGCAAATCGACTCTGTGCATTGCCCGTGAGGTCGAGGCTGCGGGAAGGCAACGCGACGGCGGCGCGTTGATGGTTGACTACGTCATGAGGCTCGTCGTCAGCCCTACGCGGAACTCGACGCGACGCGTGGGGCACTAAAAGTTCGTTCCGTCATGCACTCGCTCCACCAAGCGGCCGCCGCATGCCACCTCGCACGTCTTTTTGCCCATTGCCCGGCGCACAATGTTCAGCACGACCATAGCCCGAGGAGCTGCGCCCCGAACAAGCGCCGCATTCACACTCGCACGCTGCGAAGCGCGAGCTCCCCTGACAACGCGATGCACACCACCACGACTGCCCGCTAAGCCATGGCCGCGGCGGCCAATACAGCAGCAATTGAGTCGCCGCTACCGGTCAACGATGCGCGAGCAGTTCTCAGAGCAATACCACAAAAGCCCCGTCTTGTTTCCCTTTGCGATTGCGACAATCGCGCTCGTGGCGGGTATCTGCGTCTTCTACATACCCTGGTACTACAAGAACGTCATCATCAAACCCTACCACAACTTCCCCGAGCCCGTCGCCAAGAAGCTGCGGAAAGCCTTGTTCTATTCCCGCGGGAAGTGGCTCGATATTCGCGAGGCGAACAAGCATTTCCGGCAGGCGCTTGCGCTTGCTGATGAGATGGGCATGGATCCGTTTAGCGACGAGATCATGGGAGTGAAATATACCATTGCTGCCTTGTTCGAGGACGCCGGGTACTACAGCCTGGCTATCGATGTGTTGGAGATTATGCGAAACGACTGCCAGAAGTGGGTCGACGAGTTCTCGGATAAGCATTGGACGACGGGGAACAGGAGCAGGGTGAAGAAGAACATGGTGCAGATTAATCTCAAGCTGGGCCAGCTCTACGACGTGAGATATGTCAATGAGCCGGAGAATGGAGAGAAGCGACTAGTCGAGGCTGTTGAGAGTGCGCTCAAGGAGCAACAAAGGCGGGAGAGGGACGGTGTTAAGAATGGCGAGGGGCCATGGTTGACCAACGATGAGATGGGTGGTGTGCTAGAAGGTATGATCATACAATGTTTGCCTTGGTGCACGCGTACTAACGTCTTGTAGCTCTTGGAACACACTACGAGCAATTCGACTCACACTACCTTGCTGCGCCGCTGTTCGTCAAGGCGCTCCAGCTCTGCCCACCAACATCATGCCACAGCGTTGTCCTAAGTACGTACACCATGCCCCATTCCCCCAATTCATACTAACAAATTCACCACAGTGAACAACATATCAACCTGTCTCGTCCAACAAACCCCTCCCTCCAGCACCGACGCCATCACCATGGCCCCCGAACCCTCCGACTTCCCCGTCTCAAACTCCGCTCCCCGCGCCCTCCTCATAGACCAAGCGCGGCAATGGGCCGAGCGCGCACTAGCACAAGCAGCACACATCAAGGCGCCAGAGCGCAATGAAGAGTGCGACGTGGGCTGTGCGGTTGCGACACATAACCTAGGTGAGTTTTTCGAAATGGAGGGCAAGCTTGGTGAGGCAAGGCAGAGGTACGAGGAGGCGGCTAGTCTGGCCAAGAAGATGGGGTTCAAGGACGGGTTGGTAAATGCGAGAGCGGGTATCAAGAGATGTAAGGATTTGGAGAAGGCGTGATGTGTGAGAGATTGGGAGGAGTGGACATGATGGATGGGAAATGCATCACGTGCTGCTGGCTTGTAAGATGTGCTGGGTGGTCAGAACTATTCGGCACGCGCGTCTGCGCACATGATACCAGGAGCGGTAGGCGAACATCAGTGTTTGTCAATATCCAGCTGCTTTAGAATTGCAGTATCGAACAAGAATAGCGCACAACTCCCCTCCAAACAACCTGGGACAAGTGAAGCGTAGAGTCGGAGGAAAGTGATTTCGACTTGGTTGTTCGATCTTGCTTATCCATAAACCTCTGGTAGGCAACAGTTTGAGTGGTTCCTCAATGCATTGTACCTTCTTATTAGCACTGGCCACGGCAGTCAGAGCGCCCTTCTCATGGCAGTTGCCAAGCCGCTAATACCGACATCAACTTTGTTACTTCCATGTTCTTCCTACTTACGTTCCTCATTCATCTCAAGTCTTCGACCACTCCTATCTTCATCCGATGACAAGGCCGAGAGCAAGGCATGTAGCGAGGCATCTTATCGCTCGTTCTGCGCCACGTACCCAAACGGCGATTCGTCGGATAGAGCACATGCAACAACTCTTTCCTGCAACCCCCACACGTTCGTCAATTCGCAGGGTCGTCATATAAAGGTGGCGATCCTGTTGTTGACCGGTGTCTGAATCTGCCTATGGTTCGTGAAGTGCATGCGATACGACAAGTACGCCTGCAGCGAGGCGAGGTCGTTACCCCGCCTGCCGTGCATGCAGACGTCGAAGATGGTGAGTGCCGATGAGCGCTGGTTGGCAGACGCTTGCAGTCTCAATAAAACCATCAGTTCACCGGTTGATTCGCACACGGGGTATGTTTCTATGGCCATCTTCCCGCTTCTGTACTGTCCGATCATATCTATACTCATATATCGACAATCTTTCCGCATCGTGAACCGATGTAAACCTTTTACCTAAATCACAGAGTCGATATTACAAGTGCAAGATGGAACCTGTCGGCCTCACCCTTACGGTCATCAGCCTCCCAGCAGCTCTTACCATGACGTTCAAGTCGCTTCGGAAAACTGTAAAATCCATCAAATACGCGAAACGCGAACTTCAAGATCTTGATGAAGAGATCAATCTTTTTGCCGATATTTACGATACTTTTCTCGACGCGTGTGACGAGGCATCACTGGATATTGAAGGTGCCTCGAGAATCAAACGACACTTGCGATCCTGGACAGAGAAGGTCAAGGAAGGGTTCAGAAATCTACTTCATCGGGTGCAGGCGGTGGGCAGGGATCCTAGATATGAGCACTCCACAATTGAAGTGATCACTGCTCATTACAGATGGATCATGAGCAAGAGTACCTTGAGGTACTTACGTGCTTGCCTTAACGTGGCAAGACAGAGCATGGTCGCATTCACAAATATTCGCGTCCTTGGAAAACTAAATGAGGAGCTGGCCTTTCTCCAATCTGCCTTGACCTCCACGGCCGAGAGACAGAGCATCGAATTGCGACATGGAGTCGGGCTGGAGGAGCGCATACAAGTTGTACAAATGAAAACGTAAGTCAGGAATAGATATGGACGTGGCTTCACTGATTCGCGCAGTCACAACCGACGTACGCAGCGGCACAAGATCGACCGTCGCTTAGATGAAGTAATCAATCAAGTCAGAGCCTACGAGGAGAAAAATATAGATCATGATCTTGTTCCACAAGAGAAACCGCTGCTGCAATTTCGACGATCAGTAGATCGATTCGTCGACCAAATTGTTTCTCAAGAGAAGTCTGATCGAAAGGCTCGCCGAATGCAGGACAGTAGCTCAGTACTTACGTCTGAGTCGAGTGCTACTACCCCAACACAATCTACTCAGTCTTCGTATGATCCAAGACAAGCACCGGAATCCCCTCCAACATCGCCCGAACCATCTATAGCAAGAGGCCCTACTGTAGAGATACAGCCCGAGGAAAACAAACCATCACCTACCATTCCAGTACTCTGTTCGCTCCGCAAGTTTCAACCACTACGTTTAACGCCGATCAAACACAAGCAGGTACCACCGTCTGGACCACCGACCGATACACGTTTATCTCATCTATCAGACCCAGATGTCCCGCCGGCCGATGAAGTCAGATGGATCATGCATGTCGATCCTAAAATCCTGGGAGAGGATAAAGATGATCCTGAAGATGGGATATCTGAAGAAGAGATCCCGACAGAGAAGCAAGCTACGGGGTCGAAGCCAAGCATATGGAAAGCTGCTAGTGGACAGCAGGGAGATATGCCGAAGAGTTTACGCATACACCGGCAGAGGAGTCGTTCACCTCAGGACTTTTGGTAGGGTAAAGAGCTGGATCAATAGATGTCAGGATTTGGAGATGGTTTGGAATATGTGGAGCAGCGAGATCCCAACATCGCAGATCAAACAGTCTCCGCGGGCAGCAATTATCTGGACATAGCTCGTTTAGTTTTGAGACTTGGGTAGGGAGAATCTAACCATTCAAACTACTACATCTGTCAGAGTCCTGTACCAAGTAGATATAGACAGCCCATACTGCTGAGATTGTGCTGCCAACGTCGAGAATCTCTTCGAACAGGATTTGGGGCAAGCTCTTATGAGGGTACATTGTGGCACCGCGGGGTTCACATGTACAGGAGGATCATGCTCGACCCGCAATCGGGGATAGATAAGCATAGTGAATTCAAGTTTATAACTATCGAAGGTGGGTAGGTGACTGATAAAGATCGCAAGCTTGCTTTCTAGCTCCTCATACTCCTCGGCTTCCCAGTCTTACGTGACTACCTGCTACACCACAACATCATCTTGCGCACACTGTCTCTCATTGGTATTGACTTTTCAATTGTCAAACACCGTTCGCGATGCCAGCATTCGAAGACTCTGTTGAGCGATTGCGTATCTGGATTTTGGGTATACCAGTCTTGCGCGGTCGACGATCTCTCACTTTTTCTGGGACGTTCTCAGCCACCCCTTGGCATGGCAAGTCGATTTGAAGCTTTAGTGAAGTTTCGTCGTTGCAATTCTCCTCTTCCTTATCCTCAGGTTCATCCTCATCGACGAAATTGAAATTCTGTAGAAGCTTGGTGATGTCGATAATCCTTTCAGCTTGCAATAGGTTGTTTCCAGGATTGCTGGCGGCCAGGGATACTGCGAGACTCATTGCATTCTTGATCTACAATGCTGTTAGCTCTCACCAGATATGAATCCCACAACAACTCACTTCGCGACCGTTTAAGTTGAGGGTAGCCAGTTCATCGAACCCATCTTCACTGATGTCGATATGGATACTAGGATTCTTCCTGGAGTCTTCCACGAATGTTTTCCAAATCTTTTTCCGAGTGGAGGTATTGTGGCGATGGTAGTGATGGCAGAAGTGAATACGGCCTGCGATTCCTTAGCCTTGCGCCCATCTCTTTGCAATACAAACTTACTTTGGAAGGCCGGATCGATAGACTGAGCCCGATTGGTGGTCAAGATCAGAATTCCAGTATAATACTCGATCTCTCGCAGAAATACAGAGATAATGGCATTCCTTTCCAGGTCATTGTCGTTTCTCTTCGCAAGATAAACGTCAGCTTCGTCTAGCAGAAGTACAGCATTCCACCTTGAGGCAAGCTCGAGATACGTCTTCAACGACCTATTGATCTCATGCGCATCACTTCCAAGCCCACCGCAAGACATGACGTATAGTGGCAACTGAGAGATCTCAGCTACAGCTTCTGCCGTCAATGTCTTTCCTACACCCGGTGGACCCAATAGAAGGCCCACCAAGCCTTTACCTTTACCCTTAATGATGTCATCAAAGCCAGACTGTTCCTTTCCATGAGACCGGATTAAGCTCTCCAGTAGTTCTTTCTGACGCGCATTCATGACAAGTTGTCCCCAGACGTTCGGGTTCCAATCGGGTTTTCCAACTCGAGAGACCGAGAAAGTCCCTAATGTCCATCAGTAAAGCCACTGTTGAAACGGAGGCGTTTCTATTCACCCCAGGTTGAGTCTCCGAGACTGAATCCATACACCTTGCCCGAAAGCATGACTTTCAGTATATCTGTCATATCCTCCTTCTTGTAGAAACTTCGGGATTCCGAGGTATGCTCGTCGTCGGGTGAATCTTCAGGATCATAGTAGTCCTGGGCCCTGCGACGCCTCCTGACAGGTCTAGGCGGCGGTGGTGGGTGGGGATACGGAGCCGATGTTCCATAACGTGAAGCTCGTGGTCCATAGCCCGATGATGCTCCAGTTTCAGCATTGGACAGAAGACGCGGACCACGAAAAGACGGTTCTTCGACATTGGATTTTTCCTTCTCCTTTTTCTCAGACAACACGTAGCCGAAGGCCATTGTTTGAAATTTCTCGGAGGGCTCAGATTGCATGGCTTCTTTGACCTCTGGAACCATTGTTAGTTCTGGTTCCAGCTCTACATAAGTAGCAGCATCAATTATCACACGGCCATGGGTCTACACGATGGTCAGACTACTTCAACAGTCATAGGATATTGTATACCTTGAACTTCACAGCTGATTGCTTTCCTACTCGCATTCCGTACCCTTCATGCTCTCTCAAGCGATAACCATCACCATGGAAGACCAGTTGAATGTTACCTCGCCTTAGTAGTCGGGCATGAAGACGTTGACGATCCGTGTGATACTCCACTGGATATACTGGCAACTCACCAATGGGTAGAGCGCCCTCAAATTGGGGAATCCTGAGCCCCTCTCTCACGATTCCAAGTCGTACACCATCTGAATCTATGTGATTAGCAGATATCGCAAGATAGTAGGATCCGTTCTGGTCCTGAGTCACTCCCGAGGCTTCAAGGCGGTGAATTCGATCGTTTCCCAGTTCGTCTTTTGAGTAGATCAGCGTGTTGGGTGCAAGTATTGTCCATAGGTTGTTGAACGTCATCTTTTTCTCCTTGAGGAGTTGCTCAACGTTAGGTATCAAGTCGCCATATTCCTCTTCAATGAACTGGAGAGCGACATCAAGTTCCGTAATGATAGCTTCCTGCGTTTCGCTTGGGTCTCCATTCTGGAGCGCTTGTTTACGCTCGAGTATATCGTTACGTGACCAGTACAACAGCTCCGGTTTTACCTACAAGCCGTTTAGTGACCCAACGAGCAAGCAGCGATTATTATAGATCACGTACTGTATTCGAGGTATCCCCGAGGAAGACTCCACGCGTATCCTCATGAATGCTCTTCAATTCTTCGAGAAGTAACGTCCCCTTGATGTCGACTTCGGTTTTGACAAAAACCCCCTTATCTGAGTATATTCTCCGAACTTGAATCACCACACTGCTATGCTTGTTCTTGGACGATTTCTTCCGTCTGGCAGCCGAAGACACAAGGATAGTCTCACGTGAATTCCTGGGTATATTAGTAGGTCAGTTATAAGATCACGGCAGCCTCTCACTTGTCGTAACTGTAGCATAGTCAGTCCCATGTAACAACTGCCTTCACGCCTCTTACAATTGATCTTTGTACGTCAACTTCTTTTTCCTCCTGTTTGCATTGCCCTCGCCAGCGGCGGTGTCAGGCAGATCGGTCCCAATGTCAGAACGCTCCGCGAAGGATGCGTTGGTCTCTGGATCGAGACCGGTAGACCTTTTGGTGCCCAAGCGGTGAAATGAATCCATGTTGTTGATTATGTCTAGAAATTAGACCAAGTTCTCTATGTTGAGTGATAAAAGGTGCAGCGTGTGTAATGATTGTTCAGCCTCGCGGCGAAGGCCGGTCCGATCCTTGATCCGATTGACAGAAGCAATGATTTAACTACACAAAATAGACTGCGCTACAGATTTTACGATGAGGCTGAGCAATTTGAGTGCTTGTCCGTCTAAAATACGAAAGGGATAATTCGCCGTCGAGCCAGCTGCAGCCCAGTCTTTGTGGGTTACACAGCATCCTTTAGTGCTTAGATTCAATTCACAGCCCCCTCAAACCCTGTCACAGTAAGGCTGTTTAGATGGTGGACTCTCTGGAATCATAAGTGGGGCCAAATGATCATTTAGCCGACGTGGCTTGCGTTAGGGTTGTGACTGTGGCTGCCGACATGGTTGCATCTCAACAGTAAGCATGCATGATCCTTCACAGCTCACTCCGCTTCGACATGATGCTGCGATAACAGGCAGCTGCGCAAGGGATGCTGTATTATGTATTTGGATGATCCGAACATGATGGCAAAAGACGACAAGTTCGCAATCGAGGGAATTTGCACAGACTCTAGAACATCGTCCTCACTATAATTCAGATGATACAAGATATGCCATGAGATAAGAGCTCGCTTTTGAATCTTCGCAATACATATTGGTGGGATCTACGATCTGTTCACCTGGATTCATAGCGCGTGCATGCAGTCGCTTGGCTCATTCAGCGAAAGAGGATGATCTACTAGCTGCCGAATACCCTAAAGTCAAGTAAAATCTATTAAACTTATTGGTAGCCATTCTCCTACATCCCCAGTCCGTCGAGTCTATGCTGGAGTTGCTTATCTTCAGCTTCCCCGTCTCCGTTGCTCATGAGCCCATCCATGTCGGGGACTCCAACGGACAACCCGAACCTTTTTGCTACCACGTTCAAGCGTGCCTGAACCCTGCGCCAGTTGGGATCAGTCTTTGTGAATCTGCAGATTGATGTATGCGTCGCTTCTAATCTAACACAGCGCTCGTCTTTCCACCCCATTGTCGCAGACGCTTCGGGTACAACCTGAACCAAAGTCAGAGCTTGAACATGTTCAAATGTATAGAATATACCTACAATCATTCCATGTAGACTACGTGACTCATAGAATGTAGTTATTGCAATGTTCTCTTGATTCTCGCTGAAGACTTTCGTGAGTTCTGTGAGCGGATTGGACCAGCGCTCGAGCTCATCTGTTACTTCGGTATTCTTCACACCAAGAACTCGACCTATCTTGGATAGATAGCCGGCCCAGGTGGCTGAATCAGCCCCTTGGTGTGGAGTACCAAAAAACAGGATGGCTTTGGTAGATTCAAGGATATCCTTAAATTGAGCTGGCTGCTCTCGTGCACGGCGAATGGTCTACGCAAGTAAGTCTAGATATCTCGCGTTTTTTTTATGTGCGAAACGTACGGCTTTGATCACTATACCCCCCAAAGAGTGACCAATAAAGATCAGCGGGCGTTCGAATGCCTCGATTTTCAAATCAGCGTTCAAAGCAGAGTACTCTGGGAACACGATCATCCGTACATTATCTTCTTCACGCACATCGGAGAGGTCATTGAGCAGCGCTTCGGCAAAAGTGAAGGTCCTACCAGTATTGTTCTTCGAAAACGGACGAGTAAATGCATTGGAATCGTATCCAAACGTCATGATACGCGACTTTCTAAACTCGGGGCTCTGAGGTAATAAGTCCCTAAGCCATAAGACGTCGCCATCCGTCCAGGTTGAAAATGAGTCTCCACCAAGTCCATGAACGGCAACAACACTCTCTCAGATCAGCAGATGTACTATTCTTTCTTATGCGTGGAACTTACTCAAGTGCAGGCTTCACACCTGGCTCCGGACAGTGTAGTATGTGTAATCCCAAGGTTGATACCTTTGATCAGTGAGTGATTGAAACATGGAAACTAAGAAGAAAGAATACACATACGGGAACTATCTCCATACTGTGAATCTGATGTTGGAAGTTTTAGTGCTACGAAGCTTCTCATAATGTTGGAGGGCGAAAGGCTGATGTGCAGACGCATGTCGTGGAAGGACCTCGTAAGAGTACATCAGCAATGATAACCGCTGTGGCGCGGCATTTCACACACGTGTTGGGTGGCCCCGTCGAACACATTATTTGCGTCGATGAAAATGATTGGCCCGATGGTTGCCGCAGCGTGGAAATATGCGTGGTGCACGGATCATGCAAGGATCAACTGCAGCGGAGGACCCTGCTCGCAACACAGCCAACCTAGCCTTGCAGGAGCTATGCAGCTGACAGGCGTCTTCACCGGATCACAAGCAACAAAAGCGGCTCGAGCAGTCCCACGTCAATAATCTCCCCTCCAATCTGTCGCTAATATGTCAGCGCTCTTTGCTATTTGATTATCATGCAGCAACCATGCAGCAAATGGTGTACCGAGGCTGACTTGTACATTTCCAATTCTCGCCACTTCCGCCTACGAATCAAAGCATTGAGAGTCATCCTTAACCTCCAGCAGCAGGCGTCGTGATCATCGGCTGCAATTCATTGCATACATCTTCTCCAACACTATCGAAACCAGAGTTGCTAACAATCAATCCAAACTGATGAGACTGACTGACTGACTGATTGCTTGGCAGTCAGTTCAGTGTCAGTTTAGAGCTCTCGTCTTATCAGTCAGTTCAGTTTAGAGCTCTTAAACT